AAGGGTGGCTGAAAGTTTTGGCGCACCCTCAATGCTTAGAGAATATCTTACAAACTACCATTCCAACTTCTACGGTCTCTTCCATGAAGTGAAGTGCCATCCAACGCGAGAATAAACAGGGTGACCCTCTGTCACCGCTTCTCTTCATCATGACTATGGATGAGATACTTAGTCTTCTTGAAACCCATGACCCTATCTACGTTGATGGTCATCCTTTGCACTACATAGCATATGCCTATGATCTCATCATTCTAGCCCCAAACGTTTATGAATTATTCAGTCGAAAGCAGACCTCAAAATGATCTATTTCCTTATTTGTACATTTCTTTTTAAATGTTTCTCTCACATTTACCAGTATTCAACTCATTTCCAAGTTAAAGAATCATATTATACATTCTGTAAGTTCTCATAAATGTACATATGTTCATGGCTGTAAAAGTGGCTGGCTTCTGTTCCAGAAATAAAATATTATTATTAATCTTCCGATACAAGCCCACGGACAAATATTAATATCTGCAGAAGTACATGAAAGCTGATAACAAAGTTATAGGAAATGCCTGATAACTTTGTTTATTCTATATATTCTAATTGTTCTATACTACATACGCGCAGAGAGCATATTGTCCCCATAATCTTCTCCTGATGTTAAATACTGCTACTACATTCAACTGTCGATACTACCCCGTCTAATATCCAATATCGTTTTTACGAGCTAGTATAAACCAATTTGATTTCTTTGTGCTTGTTTCTTGAATTTAAGGCATAGGTTCATACATGCAAGCAGCATCCACATGCTCAAAATTAATGGAGACTTGTATTACATTTGATGATTCTATAAACATAAATTATTAAAAATCATACTTTTGTACCAGTCACGAATATCTCACATAAACATATGACATAAACAATCAATCACAATTACACATATATGTTCACACACTTCTAACTGACAGTGCTGCAGAAAAAGTACACATTATTGGATTCAACATGGGCTGCTGTGCTAATTTTTCTACACTTTTGTCTATTATTTTTGATGGCTTAATTGACTAATTTACGCGCGCGATTCTGATCGGACGTTACAATCTCTCCCCATAACGTGGATATATTTTTGTCGATTTCTGGAATATTGTAGTGGATATTATACCACTGTTCAACTATAACTTATATTGGCTGCTACTCTAGCTTCCAATTCTGCAGATATATCACCGCCAGTTATCAAGTTTGGATCCACTCTTTCGCAGAGCTCATCCTCCTTATTGTAACTTTAATTTACGTTCATATATTTATTTATCTTTACGAAGGTTACCTATGTTATTTAGGAATCTTTATTTTATACTAATTTTTCTATTGATTTTTTGCATTATTGTATTTTATTTTTGTGTGCGTGTACTCAACTTGAATATTGTAAAAATCGTCCATTCACGGAAGCTAATTTTATTCGAAAATAAATATGTTAAGCTAGTGGTCGTGCACCAACAAACAAACGCGACAGGACGGAGTACCAAATGGAGTGAATACTTTAACGGAAGCCTTCAGTTAAAGAAGTTGACCTCAACAGCGAGTGTAAGCATCCAATGTACAGCAACGAATGCTGTGGTCAATAATATTTAGAAATTAATTACCGCTTCAGTACTATATGCACGTGGTTAACATGGAATTTATCTGAAACAGCAATGTGACTTTATCTCGAAACAAGCGCTGTCAGACAACTCTCCAAAACTGTCAGTGTCCAGCTCTTACTACGCTGGAACTCACGCTCTCCCTGGAAGACTTTCAGAAGCAATTTGTATTAACCAACGCCGAAAACCAGAACACAGATTGACGACTAGAGAATCCTTTATTCTTACACCAAAATGTAACCAACAATAAGGTTATTACACACAAGGTCTAAGAATAAATGTTATAAAAATAAATCACGATAATACTTCTGATAGTTTTCTCTCTTCCACCGAACAGCGAACGATGAGACGATGACTGATGGATTAATGACTCCCGCGAAAATAGGAAGGATTTGGCTATGAGCGAACAACCATGAATTGATCCTTCAATCTTCAACTGCATTGACAAGTGTGGACAAGGATAACGGAGTTTACTGAACACTTCAGTGCGTTTTCACTCTTGCATTTTTATTCGTGTAAATGCTTAGTTAGTGTAAATTAATTATTACTTTGTACTTGTCAATATCTTGCGAAATGGTGTAAGGCGAATTTAAACTGTATCACTTCTAGGAGTGTTGTGTCCTAATCAGATCTCTGTGTTATTGGAATTCAGTGGGAAGTTGGTGAAGTTCCATTCAAACGAAGACATTCGAAATCCACCAACGAATGTTTTGCACCCGAAAAGATTTGTCAAATCATTTGCGGAAATTGACTTTACATACAACAACAAGAAGGGAAAGTAAGTTAACTCATTCACTAATAACCATTCAGGTACTCTTTGTTCCAGTTTGTGATGCCAGATAACCTTGAATGTGGTTGTCCAGTTGTATTTGCTTGAAATGCTAAAGAGTTTAGACAGGATACAACTTGGATACTGAACAGTTTTCATGGGATGACTGGAGGGACTTCCCAAATGAAGACTTTCATTTTGGACTATTCCCAGTCCACATGTGTAGATAAACTTCATCGGTGTTGCACTGAAGTAAAACGTTCGCTCTAACATATTTGTGTTCCACTCAATATGCTTGAGGTTGGCATCCGGCATCCTATATCGGTATTCCCTAGGATATGAGCTTAGCTTACGCAGGTCTAATTGCGCTGGAACACTATCGGTTAATGCGAATGATTACTTATAAGGACTTTAGTGAAGCCTAAGCGTCTAACTGAAGTTTGGCGATTATGGTTCCCAGCCGTAAGTGAATGTGTAGAAATCAATGTCGCAAACACAAGGCATGGATGCTTGACTGTAAGCTTTCAGCTAAACAAATAGACTTGAAGAGTGAGGGTCAACATCCATTGTTCACTGATGAGTGCTGTTGCCAATAATTCTGGGGAATTATCTACCACCAGGATTGGTTGGTAAAATGAGATCATTGAAGCCCTAACGATTTGCCTTTTTTCTTATTCCTCTTCTGACTCCACCGATCAGTATAGAATCACTATATTAATCACCACAGAGGGTGTTTAGTAACCAAAACTAGCTAGAAAATAATCACGAGACTTACCTACCGATAGCGGATATAATATCAGGAGAAAGTACTAGATTTCTGAACATATACTTCGCAAGAAAATCTTACCATAAGGGAGATCTGGTTCCCCCTTTATGACCTGCTTTCTTAAATTGTGGAACCAGCAACTACCTCTCATCGATCGTTAAGGGCGTCTGCAATAAAGGGTGCTGTAGTCCCCCAAGGGTGGTCAGTGATTAAGTAATTTAGAAGAATGAAAGGAGTAGCCAAGTGAGAACCATATCTTTTTTACAACTCATGGGGCCCTTTTTATCCATTGGAAGGCAAATAACCCCTGCATGTTTCACTAGGTTTTCCGGCTTCACTCGCCAATTGCCTTGCTTCCCAAAAACTAATTTTTAAAATCTTCCACACCCTTTCAGTTTTTATACGCTTTATCAGTCGTTAATGTGGGTAATTATTTAGAGACAAGGTCGGTTACTTAAATCGTGCAGTTTTAAGTTTATGAGGCACTACACATATAATCCTTAGTGTGGCTAACTTAAACGATATCACGTTCTATATTTGAGCACCAAATACCCAAGGCCTAAAGCGTAATGCAGGTACTACATTTTCAGATCCCCTGTAAAATTGTGTTGAAGCATACTTTTATTCTCTGATTAGAACTAATGAAACTACCTTGCCTCCGAAGTGTCTGCGCAGTTATTAATACTATCTAGCGACAAGTGTTGGAGAATAAAATGACACCAGCCCTGATAACGCGTCGGTAGTGCAGTTGTAGAATGCTCCCCACCCAACACACACCTTTGCCTCGCCAAGCCAGTAATATGACTTAGCAAAAGGCTAGCAATCTCATCCCTAGCTCTAGCTTGAAGCCGTATGTTCCAATGGAAACGTAAAGGAGTCAACACAATATTCCTGTCCATGCAGCACCATTCTCGCCAATGAAATCAGGTTCTGCAGAAATCTCGAGTGATACCTTTCGAGCAAAGGTATAGGAACGGTGATAACAAGGGGAGTAACACTCAACCATTTCAAAATGAGATCACCAGCTCACTAGCAATATCAGAGAAAAGAAGTGCCGGAAACTCAGTTGTACGCCAGGCGATAGAATGCGACACACTGGTGAGATTATCTTCTCCGGAAGAACGCGTTGCTGTCATCCAGTGTCGAGGATAAATAATGGGTTTAAGTGGGGGAAAATTTCACAGAAAGTATAGGAAACACAAGGACGGTGATGAGATGGTCCTGTACACTGGCACCCATTCGAAGCTAACGGAATAATGGCTGAACCTGTGAATCAGTAGTTTTCTGTACACAATAGGGTAATTCCACTTGATGTAGCGCATAGTAATGAAGAATAATTTTTTACTTAAGCTAATGCTGCCGTAGCGGTACGTTACATATGAAAACAATCTGTAAGTGAGGTGGAACCTAACGCTATGCCCAGAGTCTATATTTGTATCAGTCACTTTACTTGGTTTACCTATTTGAGAAATGTTAGGTGATGCATAAATAGTAATTGCTTGGAGTAGTCCAGGAGACCGTTGCCATGTAGTTCAGTGAAGATACAGTTGCTGGGGATCTTACTACGATAAAGATACTCGTGTGAAAGCTTTTGACAGAGACGAAATAAATGATTACGCGGAAAACTAAGGAGAGTTCACATTATTCAAGGGCTGAATCACCTAGGATTAATTCTTTCCTAACTAGCTGTCATTCGTCAACAGAAATGGCCTGAATGTACTGAAAACTTGCGATCGGTGGTTATAGAAATGTGGTGAATGATTTAGCCGTTATGGGGTGGTTAGTGAGCCAATGCTGACTCTCTTCTGCTCTACTGCTACGGTAGAGCAGACCTGTGTTTTGGAAAATGGGTGCACTCGAAGGTATGAACCAAACAGCCATTCACCAGTTAGTTAGCACTGGAATTAAGTGATTTGTATGGTTGCTACATGGCATCCTAAAACCAGTGGAAAGTGTCATTCAGCCTTCAAAATTACCATCTTTCGAAATTCGCTGTTTATTGTAGTGGATTTTGTAAGGCGGATCATTATTTATCTTGCTTTAATGAAAATTATTATCCACAAAAGAGAAATATTCAGCTAAAGCTATGGAAAGATATTCCCCCTAAGATCAGAAGAAGAGCTTAATACAAGTGGAGATTAAAGAAAAAACGAAACTATATCAGTACATGGCTTCTGGAAACAGATGCAACACTATCATTATTGCTCCCTTGGGTTCCTAGTGGAACATAGGGCTTCAACTGCATGTCCCCACTTGCTTCTGTCTTTTGCTGTACTTTTCACCTGCATCCATGTCAGTCCATACTCTTTCAACTCCTCTTCACACGATCTCCTCCATGTCACCCTTGTACTGAAGGCCCACTCGCCATTTCCCTTTCAGGTTCCACTGGATCTATCGCCTGACCCGCGCGCGAAGTCACCCAGCGGTGGCCTTCCCAGCGAGTTTCCAATCCATCTCCACTTTCTCCTGCATGTTTGTTGGGCGATTGGTTCCTGCTTATTTGTTCCCATAGTTTCTTGTTGGTGATTCTTTCCGACCCGGCCATCTGATCTTCAGTAGAGAACGAAGACAGTTGTTGATAAATGTCTGCAACAGGCTGTTGGAAATATTCTTTGTAGCCCGCCCGCCAAGTTTCTGATCCGTATAGAGGAACTGACTTGACGTTTGTATTGCAATTTGGTCAGAACATGATTTGCCTTTCCTGAGTCCAGATTGTTCTGGTTGGAATTCTGCATTCAATGAGTCCAGGATGATGCAACTCAGGATTTTACTTGGCGTTGACAGGAGCGTGCAGCATGGAAGGGGAAAATTCTTTAATGAGGGGGTTTTTTAGAAATTACAAGTCATTCCTTAGAGTCTGTGCCGATTTGTAGCCCGGGAGAAACGAGTATTCAAGAAGAGATTGCTGCCAGTATTCCCAGAGGAGAGCTCCCCAACAAGATCGAATTTTCCACAGTTCATATTGGCATATTCGAAACACGGGCAAATAAAAATAAATCAATGATATTAGATAGTTGGAGGCAATCGTCTCAAGGAAACCTTGGACCTAGGTTTCGTGATGGTTGGCACTCGTCAGCAAGGTGAGTCTGCAACCTTGAAGAAACTCGTATCCTTTCTAAGATTTGAACCCGCGTCACTCACTGCTGCAGCTTGTTGCTTGTGATTTCTTCGGGCTCACGATTGACCTCCTGTAGGACTGTAGTGGGTAGTTTGATTAGATACTAGTAACTAGTGTGGCTTGTCTAGTCCTCTCCCTGGTGCAGACTGAACTCTGTCAGTCAGGTTTGCAGTTAAATCGGCTGAAAATCAATCGAACTACTATTTTTCAGAAAATATTAATGCTTCATCTAGACGAGACCTCCCTACTTGATAAAACGAGACCATCGGTACCCACAGTGCAATGAGATAGTATGAACTCAAATCAGCACTTGTTAGGCAGACTAGCGCTGCTAAAAGTGTGAAAGTGTGGCATCTTTCTCCATATTCACAAAGTTGTACACCATTAAAACCCTTATGTCGGTAATCTTTAATGGTAATAATCTAGTCGAACGGCCATATCTGGGATCATCTGAGTGGGAGCGATGACCCTATGGAATTCCAAATATTGTTGCAAAAGCGACTGACTTTTAGCTTCCAGAATGTCAACAGCCTGAAACTGCTGGACAGAACATCTCAGCGAATAGATTTTTCAAGGCGTTTTACATCATGTTGTCTGAAATTCTTTTCTGAAGTCTGTGGGACGGTGGTTAGCAGTCGGCTTTTATCATTGATTGGGACCAACATTTATTGCAGGTAGTTCCACATGAAGATAGGTCCCACACACTGTGCACGCAGAACAACCCCCACTGGTGTATCTCCGGATGTTACTTTAACATCACTATCAACATAGTTCTTATTAATTATCTTACGAATAACGTTTTCTCTCCCGTCCTTCTTAGTGCCGAAGGCATAAAGCTGTGGAGTACATTGGAATGTCCATGAGAAACCCACTCAGATTCTTCCTCCTCTAACATTAATTCTCCTCGCCACATTTCTGGGATAACCTGCAATTCTATCCTGGTTTCTTTCCAGCCATATTGAGGTTTGGGGAAGACCACAGGTTGTTTCTGTTGAGGTTAGCGTTAAGGCTAAAGTACTGGGATTAGCATAAGACATAGTGCGCATCTATCGACAGCTACACTGTGGATTTTGCAGCAGTGATTCAACTTGTCCTCATACACATTTATCACATACTAATTAGTGTTTAATATCGTGGCTATTATTATTATTACCGATATATATATTATTCTTCAAACTTAATCCGGTGACTGTTGTTACGCTTCCTATTTCTGTTTCTATCTCTTAGTCTGAATAACTTCACTAATTATATCTATTATTATTACTATTATTATTATATCTCTTTTCTCTTGTCGACGATACCGAAGGACTAACTGGCGAAAGGATCAACTCCAATCGCAGTAGTAATAGTCTTAACCTTAACTACAAACCACATATAATTAATCCCAGCACTACTCCCTTTGGAGTCACCCAAGGCTACGACAGTCGAGTGGCGGGACAAGCTACGCAGGAGTTTACCGAAGATCAGGAACCTATACCTTCCAATGAAGAAGCGAGCACAAAGAAATCAAATTGGTCTATACTAGCTCGTAAAAACGATATTGGATATATTGGATATTGGATATTGCGATTTGGTGTTCAAGGTCATTTTGTAGGTCGTTGAAATATTTCAAGCTTACCTGCCCATGACGTGAGAAATGGTAGTTATTGTCTGTTCTCTAAGTTAAAGTTATAGATTCTCATAATATTAGTAGTATTTTGGGTAGTAGCGTACATTTACTTCCATTTCAAGTCAAAACCGGACTTTCCACATTTCGTTCCTGTTATGATAATAATAGGATCTGGTGGACATACAACTGAGATGCTGTCATATGTCTCATCACTCACCAAAAAATACCAGCCGCGTACATACGTAATAGCAAAAACTGACGCTTTGAGTGAGGAGAAGGTTTTAAATTGTGAGACCCGTCGTGGAATTCTGGTTAGCCCGTTGTTTTATTTCATGATACTGTAGTTTAATATCAAACGTATACACAGAGCTCGTGAAGTAAGACAGTCATTTATGAGCAGTATATTAAGTGTATCAGTCTCTTTCCTTCATTCGCTGCCTCTTGTTGTCCAGTGTCGACCGAAACTAGTGAGTTGTTTTATTATTTTACTTTTCGCGTTATATTTTATTTTTTTATTTTTGATTACAGCTTGATTCCACACTTTATTTTTGGTACAAGTATGGAATTTTCAGCGTGGATATCGGTAGCCCGAATTTCACAGGCCGTGCGTCCCCTGCCGAAGATTACTTAACTGGTACTATGGTTGACTTGTTCCTCTGTATAATGCTTTAGTTGGGTGGTTTATGCAAGAATGATTTTGTCTGACTTGATTGACTGAATGACAGACTTGGTGTAAGTGTGCATCGTTTCAAGGTTTTACACTTGAGTCATATGTAAAATTGGTAAACAAAAGTACACGGACACTTGAGCGAACAAAATTGAGTGTGATAGTGAGAAACTTGGTGAAAACATCCAAACTCTTAAAAATGACTAATAAAATAAAACAACGTTCGAACACACTCATTAGTAAAGAATACATATTTGTTGTCATTGTTTTTTCCGTTTAATATATATGTTAACCCTTTAGTTTGATATAGATAATCATGTTTGTAAAGTATTCAGCTGATGAGTGTTACCAGAATTCACGAACTCATTAATTGTCCCTCTACAATAACTTCTATCTGTTTGAAATTTATTACGGGAAAGATGTATATTCAGTTATTAACTAGGAAATGTATCTCAGTAGTTAGTATAAATGAGGATGACATCTTTTCGTTCATTATCACTTTGCTGTTCTTATCTGTTTACATTGTGACTAGTTCGTATATTGTATCCTGTGCGTTGACTCGGGTCTTGTTTATTGTGCTTTATTGATATTGCTTCCCTTATGAGACTTTGTTTGTTTGAAATCGACATTTCTTTGTAGATTCTGTGCAATGGTCCTGGAACATGCATTCCTGTATGCTTTGTGGCGCTTTTGCTTCGGGTAAGATAACTATCAATTTTTTCAACGTCATCTGTTACATGTTTGGTCAAAGGCACTCGTTTTATGGTGTTTAGGCATCAAAGTAAATCATTTGCCAATTTGGAACGATCATTCATACGTAATTGTATTACTGTAAGTAGTTTGTAATACTTAGGTGGCTTGGTATTAGGGCTTAGTTGTTTTTGTTTAGGATGCTCACAAGTTAAATTACAAAATATTCGGTGCTGCGGATGATCCTAAATTAAATCAGTGGTTATTTTAGGAGAGATTGACTTGTTACCAGGGAACAGTCTTGTCGACTTAGCGTTTGCGGGTGATATTGTCCTCCTAGGCGAAGACCGATATAATGCAAAGTCTTCTGAACATCTTGAGCAGCAATCGTTGAATGTTTGACATGTGATTCACTCTTTTCAAATGTAAGATGATTCTACATTGACCGAATCTAGTGTAAAGATAGGAAGTGAAGTGGTTGGTGGAGCGTGTTGATCAGTTCACTTATTTGGGAAGTTGCATCAGCCCCAACGGGTTGGTCGATGACGAAATCTCAGCACCGATACAAAAGGCTAATGTGGCGTGGTGGACTTACGTCACTTCTGGCGTAGATGTGATATCTGGTTATCGGCCAGAGGACGTGTGTAGTGCACAGCAACTCGTTCCGTTCTCATTTATGGTTGTGAGAGAGCCAATGAAAGTGGAAGATATGAAGAGGTTAGCTGTCTTTGATGCTACGCTTCTGCGTTCTGCCTCCCATGTTGAGTGGTATAATATGGTAAATAATATTGAGGTTAGGTGTACAGTGCTAAGCAAGGAAGGGAAGTTAGTGGATGAGGTTGCGGAGCTACATCAACTGATGTAGCTAATGCATGCATTTTGCATACCAGGCCATCGCAATGTTAGGTAACATAGGATCAGGTCGGAAAAGAGTTAGAGGTGGTCAGATCAAAACCTGTCGTCAATCCATGAGAGAGGTGTAGGCTGGCTGGTAGTGTTCGCCAGGATGCTACGGACCAGAGACTTGGGAATATTGATGATATGGTCGTAAAGTGTTCTCGGTGGTGCAGACTCATTTACTTTTTATGTTCTTTCATATCCCTTAAACCCTAATTTTTTTCCCTGTTAATATTCTTTTTCCTTAACATTTCTGCTAATTGTGGTACTTTTGAATCCCTTTCTTTTCTCTAATGTTTGTCTTTGTGTTCTAAGGTATATGTTGAAACTTAGCCAGTCAGTTACTTCAGGATCCTAAATAATTCTTAATGTATTTTTTGTTTGCTATGAAACTAGACACTATTTTTTGGGGTCTAGTCGAGAATTCCCTTAATACCTTAATGTGGGAGGTTTCTCTGGAATTCTGTTTTATAATTGAAGTGTCATGTTAGACAGTTCTTATACATATGGGTTCGAGCTGAACTGAATTTTCAACGTAGAACTCTGCACGAAATTGTAGCAGTTCAAGTCGCCATACATATAGAAGTTGTTAAAAGGTCCTGTAGATACTGCATTATTACTGAACTTATAACTAAGTATTATCTATTGCGTCTGTTTTAATTTAAATACCAGCTTGTATCCATAGGTTCCATGAAGCCAATTCATTCAGTTAGTGAGTCTTTTCATGGAAGTAGCAACCGTCTGTTATGCCCTGGTATTTTCTGTCGACATCGAAGTAAGAATCCACAGTTTGTTAGTATTAAAGGACTTGACGAAATCTACATATTATAAAATGTTCATATTCAGGTTAAACTTATACCGACCGTAATATAGTTTGATGTTGCCTGAAACAAAATTATTAGCAGTTAACGAGAAATCTTTGCTAGTAGCTAGTAGCATTATTACCGCTCAGTTCCTTTCATCCGCTTGATGTTGATGATCATTCAATCTGTGATTATAATGTAACATATCAGATAAATTGAACTGACTTATACAGCTTTTAGTTAATGAAATATGTTAGCAGCTTTTAAGTGAAATATGTCTGTCTGTCTGTTTTCGACATAGAACTTTGCACCGATGTGCGGCAGTTCAAGTTGCCACATTCTATGTACACACAAATCAAGAGAAAAAAGTAGGAGAAATGCATAATAGAAACAGTAGACAGGGATATGAGACAAAAGGAATAGTAATAACGAAGAACAATATAGTTTCGTTGGATATTGTAAGTCACAAGGAGTGGATGCATCCGCGTCATTGAGAACGATTTGAGCGGTATCACCGATTGCTTCCAACCATTAGTTTTTACCGTCCCGATGACCCCAACCAGGAAGTCTACACCTTCCTACGTGGCCGGCTTAAACTAACTGTTGTAGATTTCATTGACTGGTGAGGCCATGTTTTGGTTTGACCACCGATAGCCCTTTTCCAGCCTGACCCTATGTCAACTAACATTATCCACTGTCGAGGAAGGCGATGACTAGGCTAGGCGTGCGTAACACATGTCCTAACCATCTCAGTCGATGCAGCTACTTCACAACCTCGTTGATTGATTTCTCCTCCTCACCTAGCACTCGACACCTAACCTCAATATTGCTCACCCTATTATACCACTTCACATGGGAGATAGAATGCAGGCACCTATGGTCAAAGACAACTAGCCTTTTTCATATCCTCCACTCTCACTGGCCAGGTCTCACAGCCATAAATGAGGACGAAGCGGATTGATGAGCAGTACACACGCCCTTTAATTGATATCCAGTTGGATATCACGTCTACTCCAGAGATGGCGTAAACTGGAATACGAGAAACGAGCCTTCTGTATTGGAGCTGAGATTTCGTTAGTGATCAACCCATCGGCATTGGCTGATGCAATTTCCTAGATAACTGAAGTAGTCAACACGCTCTACCACTTCATTTCCTATTTCTAAACTAGTAGTCAGTTTAGTCCAGTCCTGTAGCACCATCTTACATTTGACAGGAGCGAATCGCATGCGAAACATTCGCAGATTGCAGCTCAAGGTGTTCAGAAGACTCTGCATTTTGTCAGCGTCTTCACCTAGGAGGGGGGGACTATATCATCTACATATTCTAAGTCAACGTGATTATTCCCTGGTAACAAGTCGATCACTGAGTCAGTAATATTGGGTAATGGGCGTTTTTGTAGAATGTTAGATTGTTGGAAACCTTGGTACACGTTTTTCCCCTATCAACCAGACGCGTCAGAATCTTAACATATTCCTAGGCACATCCATAGTTTTAAATGTCTGACTTACAACAACTAAATCTTTTAAGATAAATATTATTTGTTAATCTCAAAAGTGAAATTTCAAAAATGCGTATATTGCAGTATGTTTCAATAGTTCTATTCAGTCGAATGTATTCTTTTCACATCTTTCTAAATCTGTACGTAGATTATTCTTTGCAACTGTAACTACAAAATTTATCAGTATTAATTGACTGTTGGCTTTTAGCCCTGATGTGCCTCTAATTGGCCGGGATTGTTTGGCGGTTATTATTCTACTTTTTTTTCAAGAGATCTTGATAGCTTCAGATTCTCGAAGTGCATCTGATCATTGGCACTATTTGGAGCTTTACAGAATAAAGAACAAGACGCTACCTGGTTTCGATTTCGCTTCAATCGGCGAGCTGCATATATAACTGTTCGTGTAATATTACGGGTCTACTCACTCTATTTTTAATCATACATGATTTTATGGTAAGAAGGTTTGTAAACATGTTCTGTTTTTGAATTAACAGGTACTTGGACTACATTCAAGTCTAATAGTCTTTGTTGAAAGTATCTGTCGTACGAAGACTCTATCCTTGTCTGGAAAAATTTTATATTATACTCGTTTGGTGGATATTATTGTTCAATGGCCTGAGTTAAAGACTAAATACCCGAGATCTGTTTACCTGGGACTTTTGTCTTAAAGTGGCCTACATATATGACCGTGATATTTTGCATATTTTTTGTATTTCTTTATATTGGATTCTTATTATCTATGTATTTTAATAAATTCTAAAGAGAAACAACTGTTTGTTTTTACACCTAAAGGCCCGGTTCGCTATTTCGATGTTCACTGTTTTCTCTTAAGCGTATGATTATACTGCCCGACCGAAAGCTGCTACCTTGACGTGGTGGTCGGGCTTGAACACCGCAATGACCCAACAAGCTATACTGGCTGAGACTTATGTCGCTTGAGGTTGTTGTTGTTTGAATACCGGTTGGACAAAAAGCAGCTACCCAATCCAATACTATGATTCAAACAAATGCACAAAATATCATGCCGGATAGGTCGGGGCCCGGATTAACAACGACCGCACTTCCTGCTGCCGTGTCACAAGGCAGAAGTGATAAATATGCTACCGAGACACACTAAATAAAAAAGAACAAACAAAAGCAGGCCGCGTGTGACCGGCCTCAAGCAGTTGTCCCCTGGGCTCTGCTGTCACGCAACCAACTTCCACGGTGTGGGCAGCCGGGAAGTAACAATCGCCCTCACAATCCGAAATGCACACGAAAGTGGTGGTGACAAAGGCGAAAGAGATGGAAAAAGCATTAGCGAGATAGGCAACTCTTTAGACTCATCAAGGAAATGGGTGGGAGAAGGCAAATCATAAGTGAGACTATTTCTGAGAAAAATGGCCCCTTAATTAGCTCTCAGGATAGACGCCATGAACGCTGGAAAGAACACTTTGAGGAACAATTTAACTTGCCTACAGCCACACTGAACCTCCCAACATCCAGCACACACCCGAATGGGATATAGACACTGGTCCACCGTCTGTAAGTGAGGTCACAAAAGCTATCTGTAATTTGAAACGAGGCAAAGCGGCAGGACCCAACGGAATTATTCCGGAGGTGTTTAGATATGGGGGTGGTATACTAGTATATAGATTAACTAAGGTACTAGGGAACGTCTGGGAATCAGAGACGATTCCATCAAGAAGGGAAACAAGTCCTCATGTGATAATCATAGGGGGATCAGCCTAACGAACATAGTTTCTAAAATCCTAGGCTCAGTAATCATGCATAGACTAAACAGAACTCGGGAGGAACAAACGAGGGAAAATCAAGCAGGCTTTAGACCAGGTAGAGGTTGCATAGATCATATCTTCACTCTCCGACAGATTCTAGAACATAGACACACTTTTCGGCGTCCATATTTCTTGACTTGAAGGCGGCCTTCGACTCCGTGGATCGAAAGGTACTATGGCAATGTCTGACTGTGAAGGGAGTGCCAAGAAAGTACATTGCACTAATCAAGGGACTCTATTCAAACTCACGTAGTCGTGTAAGGGCTTATGGGGAATTCTCATCTGAATTGGTAACAACCAGTGGTGTCCGACAGGGATGTCCACTTTCCCCATTTCTGTTTAACTTCATCATGGATATGCTTATGAAAGTATCCTTAACTGAACGTAACAACTTAGGAATCGACTTGTTACCAGGGAATGATCTTGGCCAGTATAATTATTTCTGAAAACCATTACATTAGCAACCATATCTTTTAATATTTTACGAATATACCTATATTATTAGCATAATACACTGCACTATTTTTGAGTTGAATGGATTATCTTCAGTCAACAATTACCCATTCTCATATAAATTTTTAAAATTCATAATGTTATAGCTATGTAGTATTTATGTTAATATCTTTTATAATATGTTTAGACACGTTACTTTGCAATGTCAGATGTCTAATATATACAAGACTGTCATGATAATTTAGTACACTAAGTCCTGCCAACCAACCTTACCTTCAGTTCGTACTACCTAAATTCAACCTTAACTACAGTGATCTGCTAAATCTTGTTCCAGTATTCACAAAACCCATTCTTTTTACTCTTTAAGATTTTAACTTCTTGTATAGTAATCTGTTCATTAGGATGCATGCACACATATATAATATGTTCATAAAGATGTACGTGGAGACTTATTGGAAGCACTCATTAAGAAAGCTAGGGAGATGGAATATGAGGTACGGACATGTCCGGTACCAAGCAATATATTTGCGGTAGCCATAATAATCAGTCTCAGAGCCTAATAACAAAAAAGGAGGGAGGGTGGTGCTAGCTGATCAGTAGATATGGTGGCGGTCACTAAGGTGTATCGCCCCATTCTGCAGGAACAGCAACACGCAATTTGAAGGCTCGAGATATTTCTGATTTTTATGAGGGCTTAGATCTTTATCTTGAAAAAGATAATAATGAACGCCTAGACAAATCATGCTTCTGCCTTTAAATATATGCCATTCGCTCAGTCTATTGTTGAGATGCGACCACGTGGGATCTGCACAGATTTATGGGGCATCTTATAAATTAACTTGATGTCCATTGTCAGATCTATGAACACCACTTCACAATGTCATATCTCATTGATTTTCCAATAACGTCTTTACTTGGTCCTCGTTATATTCCACTAAACCTAACATTTTATAGCTCTTTATGAATTTGATTCGACTTATTCTATTCCTATTCTCTGGAGAGTACGGTTGTGCACCAAATAGACAAAACAGGCATGAAATAAAAACAACTGGCTTGAGAATTATTGTATTAAAGCCAAAAGTGAACATCGTTATAGTAAGAACTATATGGGTAGCATTATACATTGCAAATGAACGTTGTCAGCCTGGGGAGTTTCCTTTATAATTGCATTTATTAATGATACATGCAGTTACCTATTTAATTACAATTTAATGATTCACCTCAGCACTTTTACTCTTCTAAAACAGCTTCCAATCCCTTGTAAACGTTGTATTTACCTCAATATTGGTTGGTGATCGTATGCCTGCAACCACGGGATGAAAACGAAATGAAGTCGATTTTCCCGCTCAACCTGGAGGACAATTGTACAATTCAACAACTATACGGCCTAGTTCAGACAATGAGTGTATTATATGTATCAAATATTTAACAGTTGAAATATGAATTAACTTGTAGACAATCTACGATTTGATATTATAACATACTTGATCGTGCCTGTGAAAAAGGACATGCATTTTCATGTAAATTTTTTTAAATTTGTATGAAATATATATATTACATTGACCTCCCCTTTGCAATACGGTTTCCTAAGTAGAAGATCGTGCATTACTTGCCAGTTAGATTATTTGGACCACATTACTGAATGTGTAGACAAAGGTCGTTCGGCAGCAACATTATTTCTAGATGTTAGGAAAGCTTTCGATAAGGTCCCACATAACAGACTCATATTGAAACTCCTATCTTATGGAATAAGTGGAAGGTTGCTTGAGTGGATAACTTCCTTTCTTACAGGAAAAGAACAGTTAGTCAAAGTCAACCATCACTTATCAACATCCAAACCGACACCTAGTGGAATGATGCAAGGAAGTGTTCTTGGCCCTACCCTATCCATTGTGTTCATAAATGATATTGTCTCTATGATCAAGTATGCAAGCCGTACCTCTTTGCAGATGACCTTAAAGTTGTCTACGATTTCGACCATAATGGTATGAATATTGCTAGTAAAATCCAACAAGACCTAGATAGTCTATGTAATTGGAGTGAAAAGTGGCAGTTAACGTTCAATCCAGCTAAGTCTGGGATAACATACTTCGGACGTTGGAAACCTAGCATGTGTCTATACATGTACGGTGACCTTGTCTCAAACACAAACACAGTCACAGATCTCGGGATAACATACTCAGATCTTACCTTTACTGAACATGCAAATAAGGTGGTATCTGATTGTAAACGTCTAACCGGCTTTGTGCTACGCAACTTTTACACTCCAGAAGCCAGATTAGCCATATATAAGATATGCATTCGCCCCAAACTTGAATACTGTGCCCACTTATACAGTAGCTTCAAGTCGGCAGACAGAAAAAAGGTTGAAAGTGTCCAAAGATTCCTTACGAAACGCATATTAGGCTATGGTCAGCAAATAGAATACCTTGACAGATGTATTCGACTGGACTTAGAGCCCTTATGGTTAAGGAGAGTGAAGTGCAATTTATTTCTCTTATTCAAAGTTATAAGAAAGCACTGTAACAGTAACTCGTCCATAACCTGGGCTAATCCTAAATCGTATGGACTACGCAACCACAACTACCTTCTCAAGGTTAACACCCATAAACTCACCACTAGAGCTAACTTCTTCACCATTAAATATTGCAAACTTTGGAACCAACTACCCTCTGAGATTAGATCCTGTGAAAGGCCTGACGGTTTCAAAAGGAGCCTAGAAAAACATATTAACAGGTAAAGTTAAACTTGCGACACCACTAGCAATCAATCAGCAAACGACCTTGAACGGACCAATCACATTAAATAGGCATATATGATGAATGGAAACGCATATTTATAGAAAAAAGCATAAAGAAGGATAAAACGGTTACAAGGAGTATCTTTATCGAATATGTGAGAGAAACATCTCCCAGTTTAGCATGTGAGTGTCAATGGCGAAGTCACAGCACATCCTGTACTTATATTCATCTGAACGGCTTTAAATGAGATCCTTTTCAGATCCATTTTAGCCCTTATCTTGTTTTTCAAGCGGCCCCGAAAACCTTCAATGGAATTTGTATGAGTCCTCATTACGAGATCCACTCAGCAAACAAGTGATTGTCTCTATTTTAGACGAAGCAATATCTCTGCAATGCTGGTACCACTAAACTGCTGAGACAAGGCTATTCTCAGTCTCGGCAGCTGCTGCTCTCACCGGCTGTTTCAACACCCAATAATTGCAGATATACAAAATCTGGGTTGGGGAGAGATGTGACCTAGCGAAAAACTTTCCCACGAAATATTAAAATTATCAGCTTACCTC